TGAGCCAGTTTCCAAGAACCTCTTCGCCATCAAAGGTAACACTCCTCATTTGGTTTGACAGAGAGCGGAAAGGTGGTAGTCGGTAGGTGCAAGACCCGGAGAGTACGGTGGATGCTGAAGAACCTCCCACTCAGGCTTTTGGAGTGCTGTTTTGACGACTTGGGCATTATGGGGCCTGGCGTTGTCGTGGAGCAAGATGACTTCACCTTGTCTATCGAGTCATTTCAGCAGAATAGCAACACTAACACGGTTAAGCTAGGCAATGTAGACCTCCTTGTTGACAGTAGCATTTCGCACGAGCACTTCCCAGTGCACCGTGCCTTTCCAGTCTCACCAAACGCAAATCATGACCTATTTTAAGTGAAGGTCTTGCTTGACTCTCGGCTTCGGTGCCTCTCCTGGGGCCACCCAGAGACACACCTAGGACACCTTCCTCGTACACACCGCATATGTCCCGAGCCGCTTCGGCTGCTTATTGACCTCGATGAAAAGCAGATGTCGAAAATGCTGATTTTCTCCTCCTGGATATTCCAATTTTGAGCCAGAAAAAAGACGTACAACTAGACTATCCAAAAAAAAGAATGAAACTATTTTATAGAGGAGAAAGACTCTTTCGAATGAATATATACACTTTGCCAAAAAAACAAAGCGAATCTTTGTAAAATGACCCTAACACAAAACTCTACGAACTTATGTTACAACCCAATATTTCACCGTTTTTTCTCCTCGGATGGGTACCAGAGTAACGGTCCTGATGAAATGTAGCAAAGAACCAATAAGAGATTGACTTCTTCCCTTTAATGAACATAACTTTTTCTATTCACCTTTCTATAATTTTCGTTTCAAGTGTTACAATGCGGGTTCGAATGTGAGGCCTAAAGAATTCAATTCTAAATCGAGGTCGCTATCCAGAAGCATGAGAGGGCTACCAACAGTATTGATAGTATCACAGAGTTGGTCTGCAAAAAGCGGATTAAATCCTGCGTGAATGACAATTTAGTGATTTGCTGTCACCAAATTCAATGCAATAGATGCAAATCGACTATTTGCTGTCGTCTGATGTCCGTCGATCATTTTGTCATGAATTTTTGTGAATCACTTCGACTAGATGAGCTGAACGAAACCTTCAAAGATCACGCACGGTATTCTAAGGAATGGATGTACTTCTCCCCGAATTCCCAGAGTGATTCCGCGGCGGCCACCCTATCCTTCCGCTGCGAATTAACACCTTTCCCTTCATAGCGATACGCCAAACGCGACGAGATTTTCGGGGAGAAGTTACCACACACACAGACCGACAACTAAATACAAATCAGTGGTGGCTCGACATGGTCAACTAATTCACTTGCTTTTTCTCGATCCCGGCACAGATATTTTTATGTTGTGAGCTTAGACTGTCAACCACCGTATTCCTTTCCTTCTTGATGCGTGAATAATAATCGTACATCTGATCGGCCCAATTACTGACTCACTAATTTTTCTCTTGTCAGGACAAATTAAAATACCAATAAAAGCAACTTCAGATGTCTATACCAGTGCACAACGCACTTCCTTTTGTTCTCGAAGCTACGACCGAGGGCGTCTTTTTAAAGTGCTAGGTTTGCAGCCTTTTTCAGATCTAGCCCGATGGCCCAGATCAAAAGATTCAGAATTGAACAATATAACTTCTGAGAATGAATCCTATGCAGTGAATTCAAACACACGCCACCGCTATCCACTTCAAACAGAATGACTAGCAGTTATAATTTATGATGATTGTCGATTTTCAAGTGAGTTTTATGACCTTCAACTAGCCACACACTCACTTCCCCGCAGTCCGCCGCTCCACTCCTTTTCCCCAACGAGATTTCCTACATGAAAACACCACATAGATAAAGTTCGAAGATTCACTTTCATGCGTCATTCATTCTCCTATTGACAGCCTGCTTTCCCGAATATAGAACCTGCAGCGGTGAAGGAGAATAAACCTAAAGTTCATTTTTTGTTCTTAGTATCATCGTGGATACAAAAGTTCTGTATTACTGCTACTGCTCTCCATTCTCATCGTAAAGACTTCACTTTTTCTCAGAGCTGATTCGCTCTTACAGCTTCCCCTTATCCATGGTTCCGCTTCGAAAGATACTTGGCCATGGCACATTTCTGTATGCGGTTAGGCCTGTAGTTCTTGGCTTTATGTTGATTCACTCAATGATTGAACAAACAACAAACATCTCAGGTGAATGATTTTAATTACTCCTCGCATCACCGGTCAGGTCAACACCTGGATTGGCTGGATGAAAAGAAATTCAGGAAATCGGTCATCTTTGTTTCCTTTTTAGTGGAAGATTTTCTCAAACGAATGGTATTGACCTAACCCGTGATACGAAAAATAACCAATGTTTGTTGTTTGTTCAATCATTGAGTGAATCATCATAAACCAAACGCAAGTAAGAATACTTCTTCCGTTTCTCGTTTTTGCACGGACCACTCTTATACTGTATGAAATGAGTCGCATTTTCATTGTGAGGCGTGCCAGAATCTTGTCAATGTGCACAAGAAATGCTCAAATATATTTATTTTTAAATGAGTTATACGAATCTGTACCCTGACTTTTCGTATGAGAGCACGATATTATTCTTCAGAAACAACTTCACATCACTATTTCCATCTTTCCAGCCCAGGTTAATGTTGACCTAAAAAGGAATATGTCAGATTAATTTAAAAGTCAGAACAAGGAATTTCGGAATTGACCACAAGCAAAGCCCTTCGTGCCTAATTTTATTGATCAATTTTTATGTGCAATCGCTTTTGGAAACATTGCGTCTGCTGTATTACCCGCAAATTCACTGATTGAATAGCACAACGGAGTATGATATGGCTGAAGAGATGAGAGGTTCTTCGCTGGGAGAGTAGACACCTTGTACACTGAGCATGATGAAAAATGTTTGCGAAAAAGACGAGGGGGGAAGTTCTTCTCCTTGGCGATGCCGAGGGTCCATTTTGAAATATGTTTTTTACAAGTGGTAGCTCTTTTCTAGTGCCGATGAATATCTTTTGAATGGGGTACGACTTGAGCAAAGCACATACATAGAACCTTATAGGAAAAGAAATAGTTTGACAGAAGCGACACTGCTTGTGCAACAGCCTCATACGGCTTCTCCTCTTGGTTAGACAACCTCTTCGATTGGGTGGTGGAACAACCATAGTAATTGGGACGATTGTCAACTATCATGCGTTTCCACTGCGCCAAAGCTCTCTCCTAGTGAAGCGTTTACGTAAACGATATAGTTCTTCTTCACGAGTGTAGGCTTAGTTCCCTCTCGCCACCAGGACGGGAACTCCATGGAGGATTCTCGGCAATGAGCACAACTGAATTACTAGAATACGGATCCACTCCAACTTTCTTGAGACAATTTGTACTGCGTTAAGGAATGACTAGAAATCCCCTTTCAAGTGCGTCCACCTTCGGAAATATTCTTGTAACGGTTTTTAATATAATACCATTGAAAGAGGCTTCAAAGTATGCATACACCTTCTTAGACACGCACTGTGCTCAAGGGACACGGGTCAGTGTGTTTATCAACCAACGCGCCTGGGAAATTGAAAGTATGTAAGCAGTAGCGAAGACAGAACGCCTTTACCACCTAGATTTGAGATGAGAGCAAAGCATTTTTTTAAGCGATTGAAGACAGTTGGCATTTAAATTTTTGATGTGATAGGACCAAAATGGGAGTAGTATAACCATGATGTAACCACCCTGCTCAAACAAGGACTTCAGACACTTATAACATATGGCCGTTCCCTGAACATAAGCGGCAACAAAGATGAACGGTCTTGAGTGCCCACAAGGCAGTCAGAGGTACGATGAAACCTGATCTCAGTTGAAATGAACAACATACCGCATAATTTCGACCACAATGTTTTAACGATAGAGTCTGAGGTGGAGTTTGCCGCATCAGCTATCAAGCCATCAAGTTTCCCGTTGTTTTTCGATAAACCATAATAAAAATCGCCTTCCTGAACAGACATGGATATATTACTGACATTCACTATTCCTTATGTTATCAGTAAGTGTTCTGAGAGTCTTCAAACATAAGAATTACTCGTAAGATGAGTGAAATTGAAGAGAAAGCATTCCAAAATTTTATGTCCCTGACTCCGGTCCTGGTCTGACAATGAGATCGTCCAGCGGATGACATCACATTGATGCCTTCTCGAATAAGAGGTTCCTATTTGCTGAGTTATTCATTCCGCTAAAAACCTTTCCTTCATCTGCACTTAATACTGACAACTTTGCGATTCAGTCATTCCTTTTATGTTCTAAATGGTTCGGGATTCTAAAGCCAAACTGCAAGCAGCGAATATACACAAGTGCTCCACTTGATATTTCGCTGAACACCTTCCGGAGAAATGAAGTCGAGCTCCTTCAGGATTAGAAGAAAAGTCAATAAACATAAAATCATGTGAAAGTACTCCGAAAAGTAGTCGTTAGATTTTCACTCTTAACCTCTGCATCTCTCATCTTCTTCGACCCCTATAAGTAGGAAGTAGCGAATCGGTTTCATTGATGTTCTCTTCACTTGCGCCTTTTTGACTAGTTATCATCAAATGCTGTTGGCTTTACTTTTTTTATAATCCTTGGCCCAAATCACCAGTTCCCCCATCCTACCGCCTTCACCACATAGATCCCTTTCACTGATGAATCTCTACTCGGCTGATGACGACGCCACGTGGCGCAACCCCAAGGTGGTGGATAGGGTACTTGACTGAAGGCGCAGGTGCAGTCAAAGCATGGACTCTTCGTTTTTGGTGGTTTGGGTCGATTTATGCATTCTGTCTCATCGCAGATGTATCCATGCTTACGCATGTGTAGCACCTGTGAGTGCGATTGGTATCCTGAACATCGACATCTTTCTCAAGGGCGGAGGTAGTTTGCCACCGATCGTTACATTTCAGGAGCCAACGGCCGAAAACTTTTAAGACTGCTGTGATGCATGTTGATGAAATCATAGGGCTAGCCGCGTGCGGCGACGCGTGGAAACAAAAGACCTCGCCGATCACCTTCAGAAACTAAACTGGTATCATCAGTTACTCTTAGTAGGTTTGGGATAAACTACAGTTTTGCCGTCACAGGAGAATATATGTAAGCACAGCAACGCGGGATATTTGTTGCAAGACAGTGAAGATCAATCTAAGGAAGTCCCAAGTTTATTTCAGCGTTATACTCACTTGAGGTGTTCAGATGAACTAGAAAATATCTTAATGCCGGTAGTTCGCTGATAAAAATTGGTTTAAGAGCATTCAAGTAGCTTATCGAACTATGCACAGTAAATCCTAACTCTGTTGGTCCATCAAAATTGAATAATAAACGCCCATAACACTCAATCTGCTGGTGGAGAAGCTGTTATAGCAATAGTAATTCACGACTTCACTGAATTTCCTCTCTAGATTGATGCAATATCACCCCGAAAGACTTTCGCCTTTCAGACTACGAAGAAAACGAAAGAACCGAAACGATATCGTCAAATGAAGAATTTTCGAGGACTTCTGTAGCACAGTAGAAGCTACAGCTTTTGAGACCTTGGAGCTTCTTTAAACACGGCAAATTATGAAGTGAAGCGAATAAGAATTAGAACGATAGTGAAAAGAACTTACGTAAGGCTGATAAAGTGGAACCACGTAGTGAAGGTAAGCAAAGCTCAAAAGACCATTGTAGCCTGTGGAATTGTAGCTGAAAAGACTCCATTTGTACTTAAAATGATTATTCATGGCGTATCTTATCATTTCCGCTTCCAGACGGAAGGTTGATGAGCTTCATTTTACTCAGGCGAGAGATATCATCTTGAATCCTTAGACAATTTTCGGTTTCAGTTTTTCAACCAGACGACTCCAATCTTTATTTCGCTATCACACTAGGTGTTAGCACCACTCCCCCAATATTCCCAGTAATCAAAGCGCTTCGATGCATTGGATCTGTGAGCGGTAAGGAACAGTATGAACTAAAAAATAAGCAATCAGTCAGGTAATCAATATACCCATACCTAAAACATTCTTGATTCTTGCTCTCTTCTCTTTTCTCTCTCTCTCTTGGTCTTGATCTTGATTTCTCATGATCTTGTCCCACCTCATATCTTTCCCGAAGGTGTCTTTCTCAGAATGATACCGGGCCCTTCTTCAAATCGATGTTCGCCCGAGTGCATCTTCTAAAAGCTCATCTAAGATTTTCATGTTCTCTTTGGTGCGTCCTATCATCGCTACTTCAGGCTCGCCCGAAGTCCTTGTCCGTTCATTTTGACAGTGTACTGCAGTCCATGCCACTGTCGTCAGTGGCCTCTTCACCAGTTCCTCTCGAACTGTGCGCTAACCCACTGTAGTAGGACCGCATCGTTGCTTATGCGATCTAGGTTGAAACACCTCTCGATATCGAGGATTCCGCATCTTCCTATATATTTTACTGAGTGGCAGTGCTTCTCCCCGAATTTCCACGGCATACGGCAGCGGTTCCGCGGCGGCTACCGTATCCTTCCATTGAGAAATCAAGGCTTTCCCATGGGGCGCGCAAATGAGCGCGATCGATATTTGGCGAGCGCGATGGAATTTCCGTTGACAAGATACCTCATCCATCTTTCTTTCACCATCTTCTTTGTAGTATACATCCATACTACAGAAAATGATGAAAGATTCCTCAATGCAACGTCGACTCTTAGCGGGCTGGCGAACGTCTTTAGTATAACACACCACTACTCATTCCATCACACCCATACTGTGTCTCGTTTGATTCGTATCTCGCAGGTGGAGTGGTGGAATCAGCTGTTCACCCCATCTTTGTGTAGGCCACACTACCACTCAAAACCTCATGTTGATCAGAATGGAGGTCGAATGCGAAGGCGCATTTTAAACGGAAAATACTTCGATTACCGCTGCCGTGGAGCCCCAGATGAAGATGAATACGAAGGATATTGCTTCCTTGGGTCGTTTAAGAAACTACGGTAGTGCTCAAAAGTCTTCGGCCAAATGCATTTTCAATCGTACTTTTTAGTCGTAACACCTTTCTTACTGGATCTAATCATGCGAAATTTCTATATTTGGAGCGTGGATGTATTCTGAATATTCACCACTATTAACTTGCAATCTGATCATATTCCAGATATACCAAAGAGCTTGAACTCGAAATCAACTGGAAATACAGATGAGGGTCCCTTTAAAACTCTTTCCTTTTTGTCGTGTCTAAAGTGTACGAGCGCTAACGACGAACACAATGAAGGAGAAAAACGCTCATAATCAGCGAATAATTGAAGAAGTTGCCAACCTCGCTCTCAGCAGTCCACTAGCGCAACAAACACCTTGCTCTTACTTGACATTTGAGCGCTACTGAACGTAATTTTGATCAGTTTATCAACATAATGCCAGTCACGTCCCCTAGTTCCCACCGGAACTTAATGGGTGGCTGGGACGAAAAGGAAAACAAGTTTTAACTTCTTTTGATTGTTGGATTGAAACCCTTGCTTTCTTGCTTCTGCATCTCTTTTAGAGTGACCATACTATCCGATCGAACCGCAGCTGCCCCTCTGAAGGATTGATATACTTGCTGCTGGAATCGGTTTTTGCTCACCACAACTTTTGCAAAAGAAAGGTATTCAGCCGCATGTTGTGGAGGATCAGACTCAAGATCGGAGAGTCGAATTGTTCACCCTCCCATTCATCGACTTCCTACAAGTTCAACTCACCCGGCAAATGGTATCCAGACGACGATCTTCTTCGTTGAATCATCATTGTACCGAGAACATAAGCAAGTATTGTTCAGTATACGAGTGAAGGACCTCATTAACCTAAAGAATGTGGAGATAAAGAACAACTAAGGAAGCTGGAAATTCACGGTACTGGTAAAGAACGGTTACCCTTTATCAGGAGTGTTGAGACTCGGAGATGGAGATTCCCCTTCATCTCGTTGCGTACTTGTCATAACAGAAGCCAAATTGGAAACACAAAACGAGGGACTGGGAACTCCTAACCATTGATCGTAATAGGTCCAACCAGATATTCGACTCGAACCTTAGCAATACTTATTGTCGTAAAGGAATCAATGACACAAGGATGAATTTGTCTGACTTGCACAACGAGATTTCCATGGAAAAAGGGTAATAGTTCACACTGGGTGACTGCGTGTAGATCTTTCGAAGGGCACACTTTACAATAAAAATGATTTTTAAGACATCCCGCTAGTATGAATTTGTAGGTCGCTGTATGTCGTATGTGGCGCTGCCATACCTGAGAACGGCTTATTGTTAGACAGGGTGTCATAAAGGCTCGAAGATTGCACCGTGTGTATCTTCGGACGAGTTCCACAGGCTTTGTACAGGCCGCACCAAACACAAGGAACCCAGTATAGGGAGATCAAACAACTTGACATGATCCATAGTGAGAGTGGATGGTAGTTCTATAGAGTTCTAGCTCGATGAAGTCAGTTCTTTACGCAATTGCAATAACTGAAGTCTCGTCCGAATACCCCTTCCATGTCATTCCCATTATGGTGATCTCGTCCAACCTCCATTATCCCTATTTTTGAGGAGCCATATCCTTCTCGAAATCAGCGAGTTCTCTCGCTTTCTTCACTGCCGATGGACTACCCCAATCTATATTTCCGCTTTTTGAATAAAAAAGTTTACCTCAAAGTTATCGTGAACTGTGCTTTTAGATTTATGGTAATGGGATAGAAATATTAAAATGAAAATTAATACCATTATAAGCAGCGGAAATGTCCATGTTCACGTTGCATCCATCATTGCCGGATAATATATCATAGCCAAGATTGAACGCAGTCGGGAACATATTCAGAATTGCTAGTATCTAAAGTAGACTGCCCTTATTGCTAATCCATCAGAAGGAGAAGAGATAAAATGATGAAATTTAATAGTATCCTTTGAAAAAGCGTTATGCATTCGTGTATCATATCTGAATATTTGCACTTAAGGGACTCGCATCAAAGTTCAATACCAAGCATTCTAGGAGGTCAACTTTTCGAGCGCAATGTTGGGTACTTGGCTGGTTTGAAATACTGACCAACAAAGTTTTTCTGCTTGAAGGAACAGTTTACGTTGAAATGGTTACTGAGATTTATAAGTGAGATGAACCTGTGTCCCCCGAGGATGCCACAATGGACACTGACGGGTTGAAAACTGCCTAGATAGGGTCTAGACAACGTACACAAAGGCGGGTGAGTTTTCGTGACGTTGCGGAGGTTGTAGAGGTTGCACCATTCACACTGGGACCCACACGTTGCACGCAGGCAGCCTGCTGCCGCCAGTTTTAGGCAATGGCACACCACACTCAAACAGCTCGTCCAAATATCACTTCCTTGCATACTTTCTCAACACCTTCTTGTCTAAGCCCTAACTCAACTACTTTTTTGAAGCCTTTTAATTCTCTATATACGTCGACTTCCGTGTTATCTTCGCCACCTTCTCACAATTCTGAACGATCATTCCCGTTGTTCATCTGAAGCCAGACACCCCAAAATTATTGTAAACTTGCTTTTATGAGGCTCCCAGCACAGTTTGTTAAACTTGTTTTCTTGTACAGATGGAAGATAAACTCACTAGCAATCGAATTAATCGCTACAGAAGCAAGCCGCCAAAGTACTTAGCGTCCCGAAGGTTTCAAGGTTCTACAGGCCAAAAAATCGTCCTACACAAAGATTTCTTCCCGAATAGAGCGCCAATGACGTTTCTCTGGTCTTGAAAAGCTCAACCTATTTTGAAATTCGTGCCTTCACTGCACCTCCCATCTCCACCTATGCGAGTCTTGCATATTGTGCTGCAGCTGGGCTAAACGTGATGACCGATTAAAACATAAGGATAACGTCTCTCGGCATTGATCAATCCCATTTGAGGAATGGGCCCCTGCATTCGACTTCCATTCAGAATCGCGGGGGCTTAGTGAATCCGCATGTGGCCTATATAATGACTTGCAGTGGCCAGCCGATGTACAAGTCAGTGCTTCTATCGTCCAAGACGAATCTGGTACCATTTACTAGACCACGGAGGGATAGAATTTTTGGTTGGCCAGGAGGACGTTTGGAATTCGAACCCGTGACCATGCTGTGAGATGGTGCGCCACTTGCTACTACACTCCCACCTCCGCTCTGATTCAAGGAAACATCACTAAATCTGTTCAATTAATTCATTCCTCCAAAGCGTTAGCCCCTCGCTTTCTGAAAATAAATGGGATCTTACTCCATGGACTGTATACAAGAATACCCTTATACTATCTGATTCTTCTCAGATGTATTCGAAGCTTCCAGATGAAGAAAATGATTTCCCAAGTCGACTTGAAAGTAATGATAAAAGTCTGATCGAAAAAATTCATTTTTGATAAGCACGGGCACCTATGGCACTTGCTAATGGCAAATGTATTAGTGTGATAAATATACGTAAACGAATAACAGAAGTTCATCTACCCATCCCTTCTCTGGGTGGTCATGACCACAAATTTGCTAACAAAGAGATAAAAATGTACCTTCTCTCTATAGGGGTCAACGCCTTTCGACAAGTCAACAGCGAAGAAAACACTCAGTTGCTCATTTACACATTGTGGGCGAGCTGCTGAAATTAGGGTGGCATTTTCAATTGTATATGACTCGTGCAAATGTTGTCTCCTTTTCGAATCAAATCTTACATTCTGTTTTATCATAATTTCTGAGGAAGTGTTAATCATACTTCCCTTCGCACTAACCACCTAACTAATTCCAATCAGACCACCTAACTAATTCCAAACAGATAGATATTCGTCAAGAGGAGCGATACAAAATCTCAGAGGAAGTGGGCCCAATGAAAGTTCATCCCTCGCCCTCCAGCTTTCCACTAGGGGAAACTGATAGAAGTTGTGATTGGATAGGGTCAAGCTCCGTAGACTACAGGTAAGGGTCGCCATTGCTTACTTTGAGGAATCGAGGATCAGGAGGCCTGGACACGTCATGCGATTTTGTAGTGACTGTTGGATTAAAGCGGTTGCTGACTGGANTCTTCGAGGCATCAAACGAGCCCCAGGAGGGCTCTATTTGACAAGACCTCTTCGCGGACTCCCTGCTATATGGAGTACTATACCATATGTGTCATGAGCAAGGGGTCCACTATATTAAGTTCGCCTTGGACATGAGAATGGAGGTCCTACTGACGCCCAATCGAGAAAATTAGTGATCAACGGGATGACAGGTGATAGAAGTGAAGCTAGACACTCATAAACGTCATTAATTAAGCTAGCATGTTTAAATCGCTGTGCAGCACATGAAAACAAATGAGTTATAATGTAAAATTGAGGTTGGCTTAGGGGTAAGACTATAATTAACAGTTTTTCTCAAACAAGGGAGCGGAAAGCAGAGCGTATTTCTCTTTGGAACGATCCCCACAGCTTCGAAAGCGCTCGGAAGAAGTGCTGTCCGTAGCAGGAAGTCAACAGATGTCCAAATCATTCCATGTCTTCTACAGCAGTAATTAACTTCAGAAAGTTGAAGTCCTGGCGAGGCTTAGCGCATGCATTAGTCTTGAAAAATCAGAATTGGTAAAGAGATTAAGTGAATGGGTTTGGACAACTGGGAGAGCTATCTATCGAAAATAGAAAGTTCCAAAAAATATTCTGGTTGTCATAAGCAAAAATTCTCCCTCACCAGTGCTCTGATGTCTTCCTTTCTGAAAGCTTTACACGACCCAGTTAATCAAACTCCTGAATATCAACGTCCCGTTCCCTTTTTTGACAAGCAGACGAGATTTCAGGGGAAGAGGTGCCTCGCTAATATTCGGCTTATTCGCTAGAAATAAATCTTTCACGTGGTTGCTCAGTCGAAAAGGTCCCACAGTTCTACAGTCTTAGCGATTTTTTTTATCGAAGCAACCCCTAATAACTTCGAGCAACGGATTATGTCGATTGCCCCGAATCCCTGACAGCAAATCCAAGATACGATCGGACAATTGCGAAAAGTTTCGCAGGATTTGGAAGACGGCTCTATGCTGTGAATAAATAAAGAGAAGGAAAAGGTTCAGTAATGAGAAGCGTCTAACAGTTAGTTTTTTCGAGCTCTCGAGCAGTGTCAGTGCTTTTGTCCCATCCGGTACATTAAAAAGTGTAAGCAGAATATTGACGCTAACCAGCAGAAGATGATTTCTGATTTACTTCCCAGAACTAGTTGTGTGTAACATCAGTGAATAAATCTTTCCGATTGATTGGTTAGACTAACATCACAGTACCTATCTCAGCTACATATAGACGAAATCATGGCTCATAAAGGCATCAAAGTACCCACGGGGTGACGGCGGTGGATTATCGACATTCTGCGTTATATTCGCCATCTCCATCATGGCAGTGTACCAATTATCAGCGGTTTTCGTGACTCCAATTGCTGCCAACTCGTCGAGGGTGGAAGAGGGAAGGGTGCGATCATATGCCGACACAGCGATGCAACTAAAGAAAAGGTCGTTCATACAAAGGACAAACAAAATCTGCAGAATTTAGACCAATAAATCAGGTCGGTTGATAATCACCTTATCGTGAAGCTGTGATTTTGCCTCAGATCATCCAAGATTGTTGAATCTTGTAGCTTTCCTCTGAACGAAGTTGATTATGCCATAGTTTGCATTATAGGACGACTCACGTATTTCTTTTGAACAGTTCAGTTACAGCTTCAAAATGTCTTGCTTGTTGCGAAAATAGGTAATTGTTCTAGCACTACTTGAACCTTCCTTTATTTTAATTAAAATATTTTCTTCTCAATGTAAAACAATACAAAAACGTTTATGGTAACCAATTTCCGGGGTCCGGGGTGTTTTTTAAAAATATGTTGTCGGGGAATGGCATCTTTCATAGTCCACGATCGGTCGCGCGACTGGTCGCGGACCCATCTCACGAGCGACCAGCGAGCGACTGATCGCTCGACTGGTCGCCAGTCGCTAGCGACCGGTCGAGCGACCGATCGTGGACTATGAAAGATGCCAATGACAGGTTTATCTAAAGGCAACACAAAAAATAGGAGAAGCGTCACATCACTCGAATGAGGCTTTTCTGCTTTGGAGAGGAGAGTGAATTCTTTGACGTTAATCATTCTCTATGAAACTTACTTTGTATAGATCTATCAGTCGGATCTAGTGGCTAACTCGGGCTTACCTCCTTCTCCTTTTAGACTCCACATATCGTGACATGCCTGCGTATTTTTACACAGATTATCCCATTTTGCACACGTTTCACCTTCCCCTCCACACTGACGCACACACCGACATGCACACATCAACATACAGGCAGAGAATTGAGCCCATTCGACTTCCAGACATTCAGAATCGTACTGTTATGAAAGCGTAAGCGGCCTATACAATATCTCCGAGACGAGCCTGGTACCAATTAACCGACCCCGGAACCCCGGAGGGAAGGAAGGCTTGGTTGGCATAGGGGAAATCGATCCGGTATCTGAACCTGTGACTGTGTAGTGCGCCTTCTGCCGCTACACCACCTCGGATAGCGGATAGAATGCCTGGTTTGGCTAGGCGAGTATCGATCTCTGATGGTGAGTGTGTTTATGCGATAATGAGCCATTTGCCACTACGACCACCGATATACTCTTTCGTATCATCCACTAACTGAATAGCTGACAGTCACTTGATATCGTTTTACCATTCCTTCGCTCAAATAGTAAAAGTAAAGAGAGATGGCATACCACAGTACTATGGAGCAATCATTGAGGGTGGATCTTCTAACTGAATATCTAAGCTTCTTCCTTGACATTCCTTCAAATGAAAGACTCAAGGAGATGCTGTCAACCGAGTGGCTGACTTCATTTATTTGTACCTCAGTAATCAGGATTACGGGAATTCTCCTTTTCCTCGACTTCTCCCTTTCCAACTTCGAGTAAAATGTTGATAGTTCAGCATCGAACAATAAAGAAAGTCTCACCCTGATTGTGTAACGTAGAATACATAGTTGTTAGAAGAAGTTAAATTGAGGTCCACAGCATTACTCCTAATAGTAGAGAATACACTGAAAGTATGCTAGTTATTAATGAAAAGAGTTAGTACACTTCCAAAGCATAGGGGGAAGGAGGGAAGGCAGACACTCTGCCCTTCCAATTTCCCGCTTTTGAAAGCTGCGTAGGTCTACTGTTTTACTGAGACTTCGTAACTCTCATATCACGTATGAGTTCGAAAGCAGAGAAATAGGAAGGGTAAGTCGCTTCAATCGAGGAAAAAAACTGAGATAATTACATGACAACCAGACAACCAGAGGAGCTTTTATTTATATATTGGTAACGATTTCGGAAGTCGTTTTTGAAGTGAATGTGTGACAGATGGGTAAAGTGAGCTGATTGTCGCTTACGCAAAATATAACTCTGCCGGAAAGGGGCAGGCTGTAGTGGCTTTGACATAATACTTCAGAGGAAAAAACTTACTCATCAAGTTTTATATCACCCGTATCGTCTCGATAAGGGAACAGCTGGGTGAGAGTGGAATAGAGTGAATTTCTTGTATAGCTAACAAAATTGCGATTCAATGTGAATTCATAAGCGTTATCAGTAAGCATGATTTGTAGCTCTTCCATGTTGTAAAGGCCCGTAAGCTCCAGTATTGCTGTCTAAAATTTGCGCTAGTTTGAATTTGAACAGCCATATAGTGTTTTAAACTAAACTCACGATTGATGAATTGAAAGCTGTATCATCTTTACCAACAGAATCCAAAATGAAGGCCAGATGAAGTGGTTGAACTTCTGAATAAAATGGTTTGATCTAGGGTCTAGAACCATAGCGAAAATGCGAATTTCGTGTTGGAGTGTGCGCTGTTTCGACGGTTCGGTGGTAGAATGGTTGAACGATAGGATATTTATTTTAACATTTATTGGGTCAACAAGTTGTGAATACAATCTCGTACCGTCACAAAGATTCAGACAATCTGAGTGATTGTGCAACCTCGTTCGTTCTGTGTTGATGGTGGTGAGTCCGACAGACGACAAGCTGTTGCGTTCTGCTTCTCTCCTTCGAGTTATCGTACCGCACCGCTCTTGTTCATTGTCATAGAAACGATCGTTCGTCCTTCTTGTAATTGAGTTGTAATTGGGTTGTCGGAGAGCGGAGAATTAGGAATTCGGGGTTGAGAGCAGTGCCGCTCGGGGCCCTGCCCGGCTGTGATACCGCCGAGCTGCTGAGTCGCCGAACTGTCGAGAACTGCCCGGACTGGCACAAACTGGGCGTTTAATTCCCCCAAATAGGCGGCTTATATACTGGCCCCGGGCGGCGGTTCGCTTTTTCCTTGGTGTGGGAACCTACGAAATTCCAGTATTTTCGTGCTTTGGTGTGGGAACATGCGAAGTTCCCGCATTTTTGGAGCCTCGCTGGAAGTATTTATTGAAGAATAAAAGTGGTCATGTGTTTTCTCGTTATCATGACAAAAAGTCGTGGCATGTGCCATCTTTTATTTTCCACTCGGAATTGAATCAACATACGCACTCAGTTCATACTGTACGTACAATGTTTTATTAGCTTCTAGCACACACAGCAGTGCCATAGTTCTCCGAGAGAGAATTTGTAGCGAAGTACTACGTACGATTTTCTCTGAGAATGGAACCAGACATGGTCTATGTATGTCGTTGTCATAACTGCTGTGAATGCAAGTTCACACTAATTTTAAAGTACCCTGAAAAGCGGAACATTAGTACAAAACTAAGGCGAAAAATGTGAGAGAATCCGGCTACTTTGCAAGAAAGAGGGGTTGTAGGAAATTTCGTGACTGAGATGCCATGGAACATGTATTCGACGAGATTTAAGCTGTTGTGGGAACCGACTACATTAAGCCAAAGATGTCTAAATCTGCTTCCCACTGTCGCTACGGGTAACGACCAGTCGTGTGTATCCATTGAAAATGGAGTAGCTTCTATCGTCCGCCTTTAGGTGTGGCACATAGACGTTACAATGTTTTCTGATCGAACAACGCAACATATGGTATACGGAAGAGGTGGCACAGATTCACTGGGAAAAATTTTCAGAAACTATATCTATGGAGAACTGCGCCTTTTGGAAGAGGGAATGATGACAACAGTTGAATTTCCAAAGCTGTCTGTAGTGTTATAACTAATCAGACATAGCCTTTATCCAACTGGGAGAGAAGTGAAACTGGTTCATTAACGAAAAATTCTTCTATACAATGGAAGAAAATAACAGTTCTTCTTCTGCATAGGAAAATTGCATACAATAATTTCAAAAACGATGTAACGGAATTTCCAGAACAGTCCTTAGTCTTTCCGCATCTGACCATTACTCTTTGTGGCATCTATCAGCGAACAGGGCCTTTATCGAGACATGGTGGCGGCGACCACCAGTGTGGCTCCAATAAACAGGATAAAGGAGGAGGCAAAATAATAACAGGTCTTCTTGGAATGCAATAACAAGCCAAGACAAAGTAGGAAAAGTAAGAAACAGGACAACCGTGTTTTGAATTGTACCTATTAGGTGTTTCAGAAAATTCTGTCTTTTTGAATGGTCTTTTAGACGCTCTTTTCTGAATATTTATCGTTGCTCTGCTGCAATATAGTGTACCATTTGAAAGCGCTATTTCTAAATGTTGTACCAGCTTGCAGAAGCTTGGAAAAAACATGGAAAAATGACGAGTTCGCATCATCTTCCTTTTCCATTTCAAACTAGGCAGGAATGCAGAGGACACGGCTCGAGATATCAACATAGCGTATGGTTCTAGAACACCGAATGTACGTACTGCACAGCGATGGGTCGAGAAATTCCGTTCCGATATCGACGAAATGCACTTGAAGCTGCAGCTAGTGAGCCCTGGATTGGTGAACAGGAAGGAGGCCGATCCTTCTCCACGACAACGCGCGCTCTCAAGTCGCACAGATTGCCTGAAGACTTGGTTATGAAACTCTGCCACACCCACCGTACTCATCTAACCTCGCTTCAACCGGCTACCACTTTTTTGAGCATCTCGACAACTTCCTCCGAGAGAAACGCTTCAACAACCGACACGATGTCAAATCGACCTTCCTCGTATTCATCGCTTCTAGATCTCCAGAGTTCTACGCAACCGGGATAAGCAAACTTGTTACCCGTTTGCAAACGTGTGTATGTAATACTGTTCTTACTTCGATTGATAAAGTTTTGTTTGAGCCGAGATACGTGCATTGAAAGTTGAGCATTGAAAAACGACAGAACTTTCTGAAACGCCTGATATATTTTGTGAATACAAATATGGTTTGCCACTCGTGCAAGATGGAAATTACTCTAATGGGGAAATAGTGGAGCAAAGCTAAAAACAAAAGTTAGGGTTTCACTTCGTAGTTGACATGAAGTGATCCTCCATGCGATCAGCATCATTGGTGAAGTCTAGTCAGGCGTTGTTATAGCTTTACCTAATACGAAAATAGTAATCACCATCATCGACATTTTTCCCAAGTGAATTTTCAAAGCAGTTTGAAGAAAATGATGTAGAAAAATCAAATGATCGTGTGTTAAAGAGGGCAACTTACCTTCACAGAATTTTCCGAAAGTGTTTGGAGAACAGATACACACACCATTTTCTCTGATTCCGCCATTCATGCATATAGGTAATCCACAGTCTGCACCTTCCCAGCCCTTACACTTGCAGGTGCCATCGGTAAACTGGCCACCATTTTTGCAAGAATCTGAATCTGCAACAATTCTGTCACACACTTATCGAAAAACAGTGGAAATGTCAGTTTACGCAAAACAAACTTCAAAAAATGAACAATGATACAGTAAAGAGCACTGGCCAAAAATTGGAAGGATTTACGGTCATGGTCACAGGTGGCATCAAGATGGACGTAAGCCTAGAAAATGGCGAAGAAAGGTTTTTGTAGGCAGCTTATCCGAAAGCATTCTTCAAGCTGAATATGACAGTTACGTGAAGGTTTCTACCCTGCTGTCTATAAGTGACCGCAGGCACAGCTTCTTACCCAGCCGATTGCGTTACTAAGTACTGGCGAGGCTCAAAAAAACACTGAAGATATGGAAATTTTGCATGGATAAGTTGGTACGAGCAGGAACCTGTCCCATAATGGAACACCAAATGCAAACTGAAAGTATTGACAGACATCTTGAAAATTACCTAGGGGAATACCTTTTTTCTTCATTTTCTCCCTAACGTTAATCATGCGCCGTCGCAGAGTCCACTGTTCTCGTCAGCCTTCTCCAACTCTTTATATCTTCGGCATCTTCTGCCGCTACCTCAGCTTCGGCGAGGTCACTGCTGATCACAACTCGCAACGTCTTCTTTGGGGCTCCTCGTGGTCGCATATCTTGAGCCTTGAACTCCATTGCCTCCCTTATCGTAAGATTCTGTGGTCTTCTCAATACCAGCCACGCCCAAACGCAGGCCCCTTTGAGCATTCTCACTTGAGCGAAGGGTCACTGTCTTTCATGGCTTTTACTTACGGGCCAACAATTGCTGTCGTAGAGCATTGTGGGCCCTACCAATAACCGATACACCTTTCCTTTGAGCGTCCTCGCGCAGTGACGGTCGCAGAGGATTCCCTCCACTCTATCCATACCACATTTATTCGAGTGTTGACGGCCTATCACTCCACAGGTATCGGCAGCACTGAATCTTTTTGATGGTTTCCCGGAGACCGTCTATGACTAACTCTGTGCACTTTTCAGAGTTGAAGAATCGGACTTCTTCACGTTCTCCGCCAACACTTTCCGCCATTTCTGCACCTTGTCTTGGAGCTCTTACTTGCTCTCTGCTATCAGAGCGATGTCATCAGCGTATGTAGATAATGGTCTTCAGTGGTCTATCTATGAGTTACTTCGTGATAACTTCTGTTGTAAGCACGAAAAGGAACGTGCTCAGAGCAGGTTTCTGATGTGCCTCGGCAGTGACGTCGCCGGTTTGGCCGTGTGCAGTGCTTATCGTTGTCATGGAGGCATCGTACATGTCCGTGACCATGAGATCATGGAACGTTTTGTTTTAGGAGCGCTCTTCAGAGGCCTTGTCGCGGGAGGCGGTCGAATGCCTTCTCCAGATCGAGAAAGGGCAGCTGTGCTTTTCCCTATACTTCTCCATAACCTGCCTAGTTGTAGATCTTCCAGATATGAAGCCAAATTGATCCTGTGTCGGGACCAATCCTTTCAATCTTCGGCTGCCAGCTCGTACATTTTCATAGTGTGTGCAGCCAACCTGAACCCCGGAAGCTGGAGTCCTTATCGCGCTCCCTTACGCATCAGGGTCCCTATCTGCTTCTCTTCCACGCATCAGGGGGTTCTTCCTTCAGTGGCCACAGTGTTAAGGAATCGAGTGAGCCACTTTATACCGTCCTCTCAAAAGAGCTTCCATGCCTCGATCGGTAACCCATCAGGATGGGCTACCTTCCTAACTTTACCTTTCCTACTGCTGTACGGGCCTCATCCTCTGTCCAGAGTTTGATAGAGCTGTTGCCCCTGAATGGGAGCTGTTCTTAGGGACGAGTTCTTTGTTCGGGCACTTGCCGAAGTATTCGGCACGGCTGACCTCACCAGGCTTTTTTAGGATTGCACCCTCGGTGTTCCTGACGGGCTTTGCAGCAGCCATGGCGAGCTCCTTATAAGTTCTGTAGGCAGCCAGGTCTTCCGGAGCTCGTGTTCTTTGCCAGCGCTTGAGAGCCGATTTCGTCTGTCCCACATTCCAGAACCATGCTTCCTTGTTCTCCTCTCGGAACCCACCTCGAGTTTCTCCCAGCGTTTCTCTTGCCCATCGTAAATCATTTTCATGGCGTTGCTACAGGTCTGCCGGGTCGGGCATTCAGGATTTGGGAGTCCAGCTCCTAGTATCTTCTCTGAGGCTGCCCCTTTGAGGGTCCACTACCAGATCCAGGTAGTAGAAGCTGCACCGAGTAGAAAGAGAACACCTCAAATGGAAGATACTGGGAGCTGGACTCTCAAATCCTGAATGTCCGATCCAGCAGACACCTGTAGATCCGTTCTTATTATCCATTTCTCGGAAAATCGTTGACAATGTCTGCTAGGGGAAACCTATGCTGTGGAGCCAGATCTTCTACAGGCAGCACTTCCATTTCCTTCACAATTTGAGGAATGACCTTCTTACGAGTACGTTGTCTACTTTTGTTGCTCTCCTTCCACTGCTACAACTTATCTTCTAAGTTTTCCTCACTGCTAAGAAGGTGGAGTTTTCCTTTCCGCGAACAGAAAGACACCCTTCTCATAGCAGGAGAACCGGCTTGTGGTGTACGGACAGATATTATTGTCCAGTACCTCTATCTCTCTTATATCATGGAAGTCTATCCTCACTGCGATCAAGGTTTCAGAAAGCATTGCCGATTACCTTGGACTTGAATGTTCTCCGCTACCTATTAATGAGATAAGACGTGCTAATGCAGCCGTCCCCGACTACTGGAGCTTGTTTTACAGTTATCATTCCTTTTTCAAGGGTTCCGCACACCCCTTCTCGAGTACTTTTTCATCCGTAAAATTTTCATAAGGTCCTCCCCACTAGGGAAGAGGAAGTAGTGGCTCAGCGTAACACTTCTTCGTTCCAATCAATTCAAATACAAGATAATCCGTTTCGTTATCGCAGCTCTCCTGAACTTACTAATGTTCACTGTTCATAGTAGTACTCATTTTTCAAAGCAAATCGGTTCGCTAATCCTGCAAGTGCTCCTCCAAACCATGTGTACCGTTCGCTGTGTTTGTATTTCAACGTCCGATTTATCCATAAAAATCGACGTGCACTCTTTTATCGAAATAACCGCTTCAGCTTCGACAGAGTCACCCAAGTGAAACTTGGCCTAACGCAAGCCTTAGGTGGTCGTCTTTCTTGGTAGCCGTTGGCCACAGTACAAATTGATCAGGGCAGATCGTACTGCAAAAAAGGTGAAGACGTCGCGATTTCGCTTGAGAAAATACCTTTCTTCTCTCACCTGTCAGTTTCTCGTAAATGCTGTCCTGAGGCATATGAAATCCTATGTCTAGGAACTATACTGACTGATTCGGACATCGTTCCTGTGCGCCTTCTAATCGTATAAAGGGCTCCTCCTGTTACGGCTACTAATCAGTTATTTCATGCTATCAGTGACCGCTCCTGCTCCGACCATCGCTGAACCATAATGGAGGAACTGAATTTTTCCGATATCGATTGGTCAGCTCCTAACAGCTAGAAATGTTGTGCTCTTTCCATACAATATTGACTTGGTATTAACCAACACTGACGGATCAATTCACAGTCAGGCTGTTGCGACTTTGGCTCTGTAGTAGCGACTACAACAGTGCCGTTTTCGGCTTGAACCTTCTTGCTGCCAGTATGCTATTCATTGAGAAGAGTAGCCTCAGAGATGCAAATTACAACTGCAATGCGCTGCGTTTGCCGATGACATGAAGTTAAATTATCCGGTGCGTTTTGGGGAAGACTGCTCGTGCGTTTAGAAGTCCTTTGACGCTGTTAACAGCCAGTTTAGGTAGGGGGGTCTGCCGCTGTCAAAGGAAAACGTAGTGTTTTGCATTTTTCGTTGAAAAATGAGCAATTTACCCACAACATGGAAGGCGCTCCTGTCAAGAAAGTGGAGCAACAAAGAGATTTGGGCTTCCTCATTACAAGGAGTCTTTTCTACGGTGCGCATTGTGAGGATTGCTCGAAAGTCTACCTTAGTGGTACATAAGCTATTAGTTAGAGTCCTTATGAAAAATACTGCCGTCCTATTACGCCCTTTCGATGCCTAAAGTCGAATTCACTCTATCTTTTGAACTAATTGACAACTCAATCAGCGAAAGCGAAAACTGATGATAAGGGCGTTGGGTTTTCTATACAATGGTGTACACCTAGTATGCGAAGATACAAAAATTCAGCTGCACACACTTTCGTATAGTCGAAGCATGTTTGATCTCACTCTTTTTCACATAATTCTTTGATCACTGCTGTCTCAACCCTGGTCACTTCTGCACTGCGCGGTCCATGGTTACCAGAGGTGTTCCCACTAAACGGCTTATTCCGCGAACTGAGCGCATTCTGCGAATTCATTTCTTCACAATAAGACCTGGCACAGACTATTTCAAACTCGCTAGGTCTGTTCATATACTTCCCATTAAATGTATACGAAATCTTTCAAAAACTCAATCCACCGTCACTTGGTTACATACCTGTTACTATGTCTTTCATTTCGTTCACATTATACATATGTCCCCCTATTCTCACTGGGTTTATGACTGATGATCCAGTTTTTTTTTCTTTTTTATTTTTCTCTATTAACACGTGAGTATTCATTGTTTTTTCAATGGTCAACTGGTAGCACGGTAATATTTCGATCATATCACATGAGTTTTAGCTCATGTAATAAGGATATGCCCAACTCAGAAAGCGATACTTTCGTAGGTAATGAAGCTTTACTCACCCAGCTGTAGGCAAACCATAGTAATTTGCTGATGTCGCATAGAGGAAGTTTTCGGGAATGTTTGGATCTGGAAGAAATGAGAATTATGCCTAATGAAGCAACTACTGCTTAAAATTACCTGGGCTTGGTATCCAAAAATATCTGTGGTACAGTTCAATTCGGCGATGTAGCTATAAGCGCAGGCTGAACTTTTCACCGTTGTCTTCACCGGAATCACATTACCCAACGTGCCAGTCCTAGCTATTGGACGAAGTTGAATACGGGGCGTCACAGATACGTCACTGACAAGAGGAGTGTTCGCGGCAGACAACGAGACGTAATTTGATCCTATAATTTGTTTTTCCATTATCAGGAATTGAGCTCACGTTTACAAATTTTCATTAATGTTCTCTGAGTACATCTAAGCACAGCACTTTTTCTCTGACACTTGCTTCAAAGCTGACAACGAAAAGAACGAGACCTTGAGAGGAACGTATGCTTTCCTGTAGGTATTTCGGAGTAATTTTGCTTTTTATCGATTTATCTCTTGTGAATTATATTCAAGCTTAGAGCAGAATGCATTATGCTAGACTAAAATTCACTGAGAATAATTGTGTGGATAATTCAACACCTATTTCAGACGAGGGCGGTGAGAAGGCATAGCAACATTGTTAATTCTAATCATGCACAATGCACTATGATCATGGGACTAGTAAAAAAGAGCTACCGAAATCAGGGAGGAAGATGCCATCGAGTCCCGTAGAAAGATTCGAAAAAAAACGGGAGAACTGGGAACTCCAGATGAGATGATATCAGATTCAGAAATAGCATGGTGAGATGTAACTAAAGTTTCCTCTTTTGGCATTACGAAATTTCTTGAGATCCCTCTGATATTTGTACGTACAAAAAGAAGATTCAACAAAAGATAAACCAGGGAGGGTAAAAGGTTAGTGATTTCAAAGATGAGACTGTAAAGGTGGCACGTTTTCTATGAAGAAGCCCACCGTAATCGTGTGTGACCCATTAGAAAAAGGCAAATGAGCAAGAATAATCGAGGTTGTCAGTGGGGCGGGTTGTTAAGAAGAAGCCTCACTGCTGTTCCTATCATGTACGGGAATGTCGATTCATTCTCGATCTCAGTAGACAGTGTATGGACAAAAAATGCGGAAGGTTCCTAACTCACTTGAGTGGAAACACGCAACCCACCATCGTTTTTCTTGAAGAAAACTTTGCAAAAAAAAAAAACCATTCCTCGCCGAATCAAAACGACCACGATCTGGCTATAAACATCGAACATGCAACCTCTCGCGAGAAAGTTGCTAAAATAACAGCGACATAATGTTTTTATGGGGAAATCGCTGGCAAGGAAAAGACGCTCGTGCATTCGTCGTGTGCCGGCGTGAAAATTGGCAGAAGCCTGGACATGAAGAGCATGCTGATGAACGCAATAAACCACTGATCCGATTCCGCCTCTTGAAACAGCTCGTAGTCGTTTCAGCAGGACGATGCTAAAGCTCTTCAAGCTGAGCCCGTCCGGGAGTATCGTAGACGCTAGCTTCCCGACTTCATTAGCAAAGAAGGAATGGCCATCCTGCTTCCTAGATCCTGATTTACTTGACTCCTCCGTATGGCCCAGGATTAGAAGGGGATCTGTTGGCTTTGCATTCTCAGTTGGAGTCCTAGAACGCAAGACTCAAGAACGGAAGAAAGGAAGGAGAATACCTGCGTGAAACATGAGGGGAGTTTGAGAACAAACTTTGGGCCTCTATCCAAGCTCATGGGGGATATTTCGAAATGTGGTTGTAGCAAGTTGTAGCACATAATGTTAGCAAACGTGCTAATAGATTTCATTTCATTCTCAGCTGATAAGCTTCAAATACATTGCCGTGAATTGGCGCCCATAATTTTGGGACACCTGTACTACTTCTAGAATTGATTTTTGCTATTAGTAGTGTTATTATTATATTGATCGTGGTCTGGACATACTAAGCTCAGCACTCCTACCAAAGCTTCTTTCGCACTTCCTTTCCAAAAATGCTTTTGTGCTTTGATCAAAAGAGTATTTCCAACAAAAAAGTAAATTCACCTGATACTGGCCCAAGAAAACCATTTTCATCCAGATTATTTCTTTGGAAAACATAGCCAACCTGAAAAATGGAAGCAAGGCATCCAGCATGATATTAACCTCCTATCAACAACAGTAAATTATATTGCCCTCTCGAAGGAAATCCCACATTTTCAAAATTAAGCCGAGTTAGCAAACCTTCCAATTTGCCTGAGGTTCTTAAGCATTTCTGAGATCTCCGGACACCGGAGTTGCTAATTTTACTACAAATATTCCGAGTGCCTGATTGTACTATATCCATCGTATTAAGATATTATATCCAACATGGCTTAAGAATGCTCTTGCCTACACGCGCGCACCTGTTAGCCTATACCAAATGTGGGACTGCAGTTCCTAAACATTATGTGTACGTGATGATGAATCAAGGTAGTGTTACCATTAAGAATGCAAATCTATTAGTCAGAACTGAGTGGAAGCCAAAAGAAAAAAAAATGACATCTGAGAAAAGCAACTGTTCCACAAATGCTTTGGTTCCGTCCAAACGAGCCTTTCTTTGAAATCTTTGACCAAGATATGGTTTGACTAAATCTGCCTGATGGGCCGCAGACAAACGTAAAGAATGACTTTGGGATATTTAAACATCTATCATAAAGTTCAATATTGGCTCCAAGCAATTTCCACGTGCTGAAATTCCCAAGGTAAGCCTTTCCCGAAAAATAGTCAAGAAAAAGCTACCAATGAAGGTCTTATTGCTGGCGTGTGAAATCTGCCTCAGAGGCAAGCAAAAAAACTTCTGATGAGATCAGCAACTTGCGCAAAGCGCATTGAAGTTGTGGAGATTATTTGCAAAAATAGTCTCAGCTCTCTATTGTCCTCAACTGCCGTTCTACCTCCCCTGCAAATGTGGTGCCCGGAGAGCCTACAATGCGTTCCATAAGTACAGAATCACCCTCAAATTTGGTGTTTACCAGATAAGCAGCAAAGCAGATAAGTTTCAAGCATTATTATCAGATTCACCACTTTGGATAACAACCACGCAAACAAAAATATGATCTGTCTCAGTCTCTCAACAAAAATGAATCAACTTCCATCATCACTTATTTATAAATAAGTCTTGAATTTTGCGCCGTTTCATAAGTACAAGTCACTTTGAGAATTTGAATAAAGTTATCATGGTGACGACAAATCAAACAATCAATAGTCGATGGGTCCTCATTGTTCCGCCCAATATCGAATAGCCTACATGGCATACTCAGAACAAGATTTCGAAGTAACTCGCCGGAGATTGCATTCCACGATGCAAGTACTACCTGCTTGAGCTGTTATCGTCCAAAACTGGCGGTTGTTCGCATAAGTTTTTCTTACAGTGATATCCCACATATTCTCCATGGGTTTAAATCGGGGCTGCAAGCTAGCCATGTCAGTATTTTGGGAATGCAACCAGTCTTTAGTTGAATGACTAAAGTGGATCGCAGCACTGTCTTGTTGAAAAACGTAGTTAATACCACATCGGCTTACAATTAGAAACGGCGAGTGGTGCCATTGTAAGAGTTCTTGAGAGTCCTTGAAGTCCATTTAGGAGGTTACAAGAGCAAGCTCCAGCTCAACATCTTTGCAGAAGGCACCCCGTACCATGACGTTTCCTTCTCCTAAACTGCGTAGAGTTGATAGGCTCTTTCGTAAGTCATGCAAGTAGTAGNATGACCTGAGCGAGAATATTGGGTTGTGTGGCTAATCGGTAATAGGCTAGGAAGATGCCGCGCGATATCGATGGAAAAATGTAGAAATTCTGCTGAACAAGGTAGCAGACGAGCCCTTTCTAGGTGATGAGTAGCTGACAAATTAGTCCTTGTACGACAGACTCAGACAAATCTCATCTTAGATTGAACTTCGCAAATTCAAGTCGTGGCTCACTGCGGCGCTCAGTAAGCCTCGGAGCCTACTTCATTGCGGCCCTGACAATGCTGCTGCTCTATTTCATGGCCCTCCATTAAGAAGTTTCGGAGACCGAGAGACCCAACTCCGATCAAACTTAGTTCAACGACAAGGTTTTGTCCGAAGTAGTTCTTAGGATTCTCCTCTCGTCGTTCGCGGTTACCTTGCGCGGGCATCTTGCCCTCGTGGGGCTCCGTAGCCTTCGAATATCTTTGAATGGAGTAGAGGGATCTCACGATTCTCCTCCTAGTTGCCTTCTTACTAAACCTTGTATCACGAATTTCGACTTTGTCCTTTTTCTTCTAAAGAAAGATGACATTCGCGAAGGTAGTTCGTGTTGCTTCCGAACTTATTTGCGACACATGTTCTCCTATACAGATCCCTCCAAGTGCAAATCCTGCTGCACTAGATTTCGAAACCTTCGTGCTGTTGCGTGCTGTATAGTCTTATACCTATGAAACGGCAAAAACGTCGAAAATAATTTATATAAATGTGAATGTAAAAGTTGACCAAACCAAAGCACGTATAGGAAGTTATTGAAGGTGTTGAATCTTATGGAGGTGCCAGAAAAATATGTGCTCGGCTGCTTAACCCATAAACACCAAATTCGAGGGAGGGTGATTTTATACTTATGAACGGTCAACATCCCGAGGTTGGCAGGCCCTTTGTTATCCTCTGATTTATGGGAAAGCTCAATGTCCACATAATCAACAATTTTTCAGATTGCCTTTTGTGCACATTTTTCGTTCGGCTATGGATATTTTCGTAGTGAAAGAGCTTATATAGCTTTCTTGCACTACCGAAGCAATGAATAGTCAGAAGAGAGCATTGCCTGATTTGTTATGAACAGGCATAACCTCCAATTTCAACTCCACCAATTCCACGCATGTTTAGCTTATTCGGTTGTTTATAAGTCGAACCAGGATCCCCTCGAGCAATAAGGGAGGTTAACCACTTCTTTCTTCAATTATTCCTTTCATAAATCCCTTAGATAAATTTCTGCTGCTGAATGGGGTTTTGCTGTCATGTTTTGATGACGATGAAGGACATTCTGAACAATCAAACCTTGTAATAATTAAGAATTTCCACGAAGTACGAGCACTGATCGTTGCCATTGATAGAAATAGTGGTCCCAACTGAAAACGAAATTCATAATCAACATGTGGGAAACCCTCGCAATGTAGAAAACCTGGTGTGACTTATACTGAACATGACTGTTTCTCAAAGATAACTGTATGAATGATTTTGAGTCGACCTCGCTCCAGTAGTTATTGTTCAAATCTCAACGTCTCTTCACAAAAAAGGTTGCTTCCGATAGTATCTTGAATTTTATTCCAGGTGGTGGGGGAAGGGACCCGTTCCGAGGAGCAGGGCAAGGAAGATGTGTTGTCGTCATGGATCTGAGAAGGCAATCTTCTACTAGAAACTCTACTCGCTTTGTCGAGCTCGGATGACAAGGTGTATGTACGCCTACAATAGGATTCTCCAACAAGAAAAAAAGTACACGTTACTTCAGCCTTTTCTCTAGAAATGGCAAATTATTGAATAAATATCTGAACAACTATTTCCGTAGATGGGGGCATATGACGAAATTATGAAATCTGAAGAAAGTATTACCTTGAGAACTGACTGTGAGTGAGTAGGTTCCTCCTCCAACTTTTGTTGAATCCACTGGCAATCCACCTACAAAAGAGAATGCGAAGAATCGGATTCAGTGCCCTTAGTTATTAGTGAGGATTACCTTGTACCACTGTCACTGTTCCATCAGTATTTGTCACGTGAACAAATAATTTGAGTGAGGCAGAGAAGTCCTCTGCTGGTATACTGATCGTTGCATTACAAGAAGTATCGGAGGCGATAACGTTCAATATAGGAGATGAGAGGGTGGTGGCTTTCGAGGCTATTGGCACTATGTAGTTCGGAAAGTAAACCTGAAAATCATTCGGAGGTATTCTGATTGACACTTGAAAACCTCGTTCCCCTCCCCGTTTGCAACTTATATGATATATACGGCTACTTGTTATAGCGAAATCAGTGATCTCGAGGAATTTTTATTGCAAACAGTCGCTCCACTCAACTCCAAACAAAGAGCTCTGAGTTAAACGAGAAGAAGTTGCAAAAAAGGTTGATCTGTGGGTATTCTGGGTCTTCTCTGTGCACAGGATTTTAGTGGATTACTTTTATGACTAACGAACATGATACTTGCGACTTGAATGCTCTGACGGTGTTGCAAATCGAGTTTTCTAGTCAACAATCAGGAAGCGAAAAAAAAAGTTTTGTGAGTAGGTTGTGAAATGATTATCGTAATGCTGAGATAGAAGCCATCAGAGCATAGTCGACGCATAGATGGCACACAACGAAAAGAATTACATCGTAAAATCCTCAAGTAGGTCTCAGGGTAGCAAGGAAGATCCTATAGAAGGCCCACAGTTGGTGGCAGAATAACGTAGTTTGCTTTTCTTTTCCCTGGTAACCATGAGGACGCAGCTCAACATTGTGAGCGAGCTAGCGCAACACCACGAAGATACGCGTTCAATTGTGGATCAGTCCAGTTACGAGAAGTCAAAATTTAGCATGGGCTTCACAAAAAGTTCAAAAAGTGCATGTCATTTGGATGATGTTATAAAACTAGACAACAGGGAAGAAGAAGAAAAAGAGTGATCCGTCAAGATTTTTTTTGATTTTTTTTTGAGAGTTGGGGCAGAGCAACAGTTTGTAAAGGAAAATCTGTCGGAAAACGTCGCTACTGCAGTACTCAATAGCCCCGCTGTAATACTAGACCTTAAATAAATAAACGTACCTCTTGAAAGTCGTCTCTACTAGCGACGAAAGAGATGCCATTGCCTAACATAGCCAAAGTTGAGAAGTTTGAAGAGTATTGTTCGGTGAACACACGAAGATCAACTCTTTGCTGAGAAAGCTGCTTCACCAACACGTCATCGATGGGGAAGTCGCCTCCACGGGATACTAACACCAACAGTGCTCGAGCGGTTAACTAAATAGATGATCATCACAATCAAAAATAGTGGTGCTGAAATTTCTACTACAAATGGAAAAATTAGCGGAAACTTAGCAAAAAAAGTCAGAAATTCATTGTCTTTTTATCTTGCCGACTTGTGACAACTCCTTACTTCTCCTTCCTTTCCATTACTGTATTCTTTCTTTCGTAAAGAATTCTCAAATTGCTCTTCACAAACTGCGCAAATTTGTGCGGACTCCCTTAGTGGCCTCCCTCATTCAACAGGGACTAGTAGGTTGATCTAAGGCTAATGTCGCAGTCGTCAGAAGGCTATACTCCGTCGCAGAGTATCTGCTTCCGATCAAGTACTCTCAACTGAAGGCTGGTGCATACTCCGTTCACAACACACCGAAATGATCAATTTGTGGTCCGTGAGCGCCTTGGTAATTCATAATAAGGTATCATTGGGAGTAGATAGATCGCCAGTTCGTTCAATCAAATCCCTTTTCTTGAAGGAAAACTTCGTCGCAAAAGAAACAACACGGAAGTAATTGAGCAGGCCCTAAGGGTGAGGGCCTGATTGGAGCCCGAGCCGCAAATGCAGATTGTGTGTTGCTTGATGTTCTCAGGACAAGCCAAGATTTCAATCTTCATCCGGAAATGTAAACTTGGGTACTAGGTACGGACGTAGGAACAAGTAGGTCACTTGATCCTCAATTCCGTTCGCTCGCTCTCGGACTACACTGTCCACGACTTCTTGGCATAAAAAAGTTCTGGTTTTTGAACGAATTGTAGCCTACAGCCAGAGAAATTGGGAAGTCTTATTCAAATGCTTTGATGAGATTGTTAAGCAGCTAGTATTCTACAGAATTTTAAAGTGGAAAAGAGTGAAGGTGATGTCATTAAGGGAAGCTGCTGACGCCTCATTCACTACCACGGCCCTATTTTTTATAGATTCATGCAAAAGATGAAAGAGCGTGTAAAATTACTATGGCTGACTCCTCTGATGTTTCGCATTGAAAGGTTGAGGTGGCAACATTGGAAAGAACTCTGCGTTCGCGAATGACAGGACCTCGACTGTCGCCTACATCACTGTCTCGCCTCCCTCGGACGGGTAGAATCCTTGTTCATAATGGTGGTAGCGACGAAATCGACTCCAATGAAGGGGTGTCAGTTTGGGCTCTGCTGAGAAGGAAACGACAACGAAACTGACTATTTCATTGGGCAATCCAACATTAGCTTTGAGGCCAGACACGGAACTTCCCACTTTTGACCTTTCTCCACTTTGCTTTCAATTTCCCTTTGCTTCTATTCTTTTGTCCCCAAATGCCCGTTAATAGGGAGAGCAATCAAAGAAGTTCTGTTGAACTTTGCCTGTGAGATCCCCCAATTAGGCCATACTTCCAACTTATATATCGATTCTTTTGAGGTGCTTTTGTTCTTCAGACTTCATTTTTTCTTTTTCCTGATGGATTTGTGCTTCTCTCTTGAAGTCCTATCCGACCAAACTTCTCTCATACTTTTCATGCTAAATTTGAAGTTTCTTTCTTTCAGGTCGAATGCAACATNGCCTGTGAGATCCCCCAATTAGGCCATACTTCCAACTTATATATCGATTCTTTTGAGGTGCTTTTGTTCCTCAGACTTCATTTTTTCTTTTTCCTGATGGATTTGTGCTTCCTCTCTTGAAGTCCTATCCGACCAAACTTCTCTCATACTTTTCATGCTAAATTTGAAGTTTCTTTCTTTCAGGTCGAATGCAACATCGGGTTTTCCTACAGCTCCTTTATCTATTCGAGAGTAGCCTTTCGTGTCTCTTTTCTCCAAACTTCTGTCTTTCTCCAATTTTTAGACTGTAGAGGAACTGTGAGGGAACAATAAGCGCTTTTAAAAAACCAAATTTGAGCTCCTGTAGGAGCCTGATGCTCTCACAAGATGTAATGTTCGCTTGCAATTTTAAGGATTCCGACACTACTAGATTGAAGAAAGGCTTTCTGACGAGCTACATGAGAAGCCTACGAGAACAGCTGAAGCAATAGGTGCCCAAGATTTTGAGGAGCTAAACCACATCAACAAGCAAGGTCTGCATCAGAAAAAGGGTTGTGAAGTAGTGATCATCACCATTACTTTGTGGTCTGAATCTTTTATTAATCACCGACTCTCAGTCGCGGCTCCCGGCATGCTGCGTAAGTGACCATGACCGTCAGTGACCTGTACGCAGTCTCCGAAACAGCGAGCCGACGGGTTTTCAGCGAGCCGACAGTGACATGAGTAAGAGCCCGTGTTCCGATCTTAGCGACTACTCTTGTTGGTGAGCTAGCACAAGAATATTTTTACCGTTAACGACCGTCCTAGTTATAGTAGTATGTCGGCCGCGCCGGATGCTTCCATTGTATCGCCGCCTTATTTTTCTTCCACATCGCTTTTTGAAGAATATTTTGGGAATTGCCTTGAGAAATGCATGAAAGACGCAAAGCAGAGCCCCNCCCCGCTAGTGGTCCTCTAACCTCAGGTCAGATTAGGTCTTCTCACAATATTATCGAAAAACCTCTCAGGTAAAGGGCTGGTTCATCTTACTGTCGTCTGTTCATCGTCCAAAACTTCGAGCCCGGGTTTCATCAAGCCGATTAATTACAGCCATTCCTTGATAGCCCGAGCATCGTGATATGCATCGTCGTCCCCACCATCGTTCTCTCCTTGAGCATTTGGCGCACTTGGATATCGGAGCCGATAATCCTACCTCTGGTATTGGACATTGTAATGCTGGAACACCGCTAGATAGATCCCTTTTGCGTCTGGAACATTCGGCGATAATGCCTCCAAAGATGAGCTGTCACCACCCGTTCTGGTCTACGGGTTTTTGAAGGATCTCCAGCCTAACTCCATCTCCCCACACTCATTCCTACCTATGCGCTGCAATACATTATGTGCAGTTTCCATCACGTGAATTCTTCTCAGACATAATTTTTCACTCGTATAATAAACATAACTGATTCGTTTTCTTTTAAACGTTTAACCACCTGAGCCTTCATTCCTAAGAGAAGAGCGTTGTAAGGTGACTCAGGAGGAGCTGAGGAGTCGACGTTCTCAACAGGCTGTTGTTTAAGAAAGATTGAGAAAAGTTGTGAGTCCGTCGTCGACAGCATGACTGTTGGGTCCAGTCCTCCTCCATCTGAAAATGGAAATGTCCCAATCCTCAGTTGAATTCCTACTCAGTTCGACTAAAAAACCCACTAAATATCCGAGGAGGTACCTGTCGTTCGTAAATTGTTATACAGTAAGTAATATTCTAATACTTAAGATTCGATATTGAATATTGATACCCCATGTTTCTTTACCTCAATGTTCGTTTTATTGAATAGGCGTAATGGTGAAATGCCGAGTTAAATTTGGTAGACATACCCCCTCTGTTGTTAACGAACACGGTGAGCAAAAATAAAGGCTCCAAAAATTTCTGGACTCACAATAAACCAGAACGATTTGAGTGCCAGCAATTGATCTCATAATTGCAGATGTGATGTCCAAAGTTAATGGAGTCGTTGATCGTTCAACGACTAGTATAAGCGATGCCACTTCGTTTGCAAAATACGGTAGTTCGGGTGATGAGGTACAGCTAAGCAAACCTGAACAACGACTAGTACGTACAAGATCTCCAAATCGTCCAAGTACCTGAAACGTACTTGTTTGACAAAACTCTCCAGCATATTGGCCTGGAATACAAGCACAGGTATTGTCTGGCATCGTAGTTCCTGTAAGATTCGTGCGATTTAAAGGCACAGTTCATGATGAAAATGGTTTTTGAGAATTCTCTCAAGAATGGACCTATGATCCCCAATGTTCCAGATCTGAGTGATTCCCAAGAATAGCACGAGGGGTGCTGTCAGGTAGAAAAACAGCCTAGAAAAAGTCGAAAACCTCGAAATCGGCTCAGCCAACGTACACACCCAAAGCGGACGAGTTCTCATTTGCTGAAGAGGCACGTACACGCAGCTTACCGTAGTCAGCTGCATGCAATGAAAGACACACCTGGATAGCTCGTCCAAATACCTCTCCTATACAACCTTGGTCGTCACATTCTCGTCCAACCCCTAAGTTCACTACTTTTTTGAAGAATTGTAATTTCCCAATAAGCCGATTTTCGCGTTTTCTTAGCTGATTTTGCGCTGTTCTAGACTATCACTTCCATTAATCGCCTTAAACTAAATACGCCAAAATTTTAAATGAACGGCATCTTTGAAACAAACATAAAAATCGGAAAACTCCAACACTGAATTTTACAAAGCGCAATTCTCGTCAATTCTCACAAACGTAACCTTTACATCATAGCCTTACTTTCAGAGATGATGTTGAACTTCCTTCAAAGACGAAGGAACTGGAAATCGATTTGGGAGGTTACAGGTTCACAACAATTTACAGGATCCCCCAGTTCTTCACAGTTGCTTTTCCTATGCTTATGTTCTGTAGTCTTGAAGTCTAATCGTCTTCCCGCTTTTGAACACCCACTCTCCCTCGTCCCATTCATGACGTATGCAATTTGCAGAAAAAAACTTACCTCCATTCTGGCAGACACGCGTCAGGCAATCGGCCCCTGCCCATCCCATATCGCAAATGCAGTTTTGATCCTGGTGAACATTTCCTAATGGGAGGTAGAAGGTAGAAGATCTTCAATAATTTTATATACCTATGCAAGCATACTAACCATATTCAGCTTGCCATGAACACAAGCTTGGCCTCCTCTGTCAAGGCATGTGAGTATTTGTGTTCGTGTGATATTCGTGGGGCCGACGGTAGAATCTACCTAAACATATCATTTTTCTCGGCACGGTTTAGGACTACCAGGTCTCTCAACCACTCAAAAAAGGCGTCAACGATGAACTGATGACTTTCACTCCATAGACGATGTCCATCGTTTACTGTATACTCTATTCGAAGCCACTTCTACACAGAACACATCTTTCAAGAGCAGAACTAGATTTAGGTGGTATGGGGTTTATATTCCGTGACCGTTACTATTAGAGCAGTGAAATGTTCCATTTTCCTATGTTTTATTTCCTATTTCCTGTAAGCTTTTCCCGAATATTTCTCCCAAGCAAAAATTTAATTGTATGGAGTTTGCCTTATTCGCCTATTCTTGCCTTAACTGTCCCATTTTTTTCGGCTAGTTTTGCTGCTTTAGAGTATATATCAAACTATTAAACTTTGATTTAGGCTCGTAGTTCCAGTGCAAAATGCTTTTTAGATAAAAAGGATTTTAGCCCGATTGTGGAGCAAATAAGGAGCTTCGCAAGTTGGAGACAGCTGGATTCCTGTAAAACATGATCTTTATAAAATTTGTTTATTGTTTTTGATTAAATCCCTATCAGCTTTTTGCTTTAACCAGGTCCAATATATTGCTTAAGTATCTCACCTGTACTTGGTAAACTCCATTTGCTTTACGGCACCACCACTCATAGTCGAGAACAATTGGGAAAAGACAATTTTCTCTTGAAATAGCTGGCACGTGATCGACAAGTATCTGAAATAAGGCGAGGCCTCGTTTTTTTAGAGGTTTCGGCTTCCATTTTGACTGTAATTGACACTTTTGCGATAATGTTCATAGGTATGTAGGCCAGAAAACATCCGGTACTTGTTCACGTCTTTGTTCCTCGCACCTTCATCGTCAATATCACTGCTGTCCCTTGCCTAACTATAAAATCATAAAGCATGAGAACATTCATGTTCATATTAGCGCCTTCCACCCCCCGCTTTCCCCCTATCCCCCCATCCCCAAAATAATCCTTTGGACAGCTTGAGACTGATGTGATTTCAGCCTTATAACAGATTTTCTGTAAGAGGATATAAATTTTGTTTTGTAGTACGAACTTTTTGTGGTAAGAACTACTCTTTACCGTAACAGATATCTTTCCCCCGTCCATTGATGAATTTAAAAATTTCAATACGTGAATGCGGATGCCGTTCCTGCAGTGTTTAGCTGGAAAACGGAGCAGAACGAGGAGATACAAACATCCAGACACCGAAACGACCGACAATCAACATTCATTCACTGCCCACTTATCTACCGCCTAAACTCAATAAGATACAAGTCAAAAAGTTGGGAAGGCGATCAGCATTTCCTACTTCCATGACGTGGAAGACAAAGGCTAGTAGTTTTTCCTTGGGAAAGTGCAAGAAATAAACAAGAAACTATTGTTTGCCCTAGTTGCTTGATTTTCCGTTCAGAATGTTTACCTATGGGTCTCGTGGTTTCTATTTCAAACGTCTCCCACATCTCTAATTTTCATATATTTTTAAAGGAAACTTCTTCACGTACCGTGCCATTCTCGTCTTTCAAAGTTACGGTGTGCTTTGATGTGTCCGCCGATCCAACCAATTTTACAGCGACATATTGCGGTTGATTGAAATATGTAATGGATCACATTCAATGCCGAAATAAGCTGACCGTATTAACGTATTATATATTTGATGGATCACAACTTACAGAGAAATCCGGAATCAGCGTCTTCGTTAGTATTTGCTGAGAACGCTACAGAGGTGGTAAGATTGAGGGTTTTCTCAAAAACGACGACATTTCCCTTCAACGAAGTGTCTTAGGAGAGATAGGAAAAAGCTTTGTGATAAGTAATTTTACCGAGAAAGAGGTGGTTCCGGCTTGATTAGGATAGATTCTCAAGGCGTACGTGCCTGATGTGAATTCAGAGCACTTGAAACTAACGACAGCGAGATCCTTGCCCACGGCTTCAGGAGAACACAATTCCACCTCCTTATTAGATGTAGGCGAATAAAGAGTGGCTTTCACGACTGCAACATAGAAATTCGACATTTCCTTCAACCATAAACGATTAGCAGCCATGACAACTACCTGTCTGTTCGGAGAAGAAAAAAAGACGTGTCAATTTTTATATTTTTATCTAATATTCGAGTCAGTTTCAGCTTTTTGATATACGCCAACTAGAATTCTCGGCCTACGCCGGTCTTATATTTTCGTCTCTTCCCTTTTTGCGTCGAAATTGACCCACTCCCTGCACTTTTACAAATAGGGATGCTGTGGTCCACGAAAACAAGAAGTTAAAAATGGTTTCTGAGATTTCCAACCAGAGTGAATTTGTGCTCACTCCACCCC